TTTTTTTTTTTTTTTTTTTTTTTTTTTTTTTTTTTTTTTGTTTTTGTTTTGTTACATATGGTAAGAGTTGTAACTTTCATATTTTATCACCATAATTAACATATATACTTTATAGTTATAATTAGCCTTTATAAGCTTTAATTACACTAGAGAACCACATCAACTCTAAGTTATTATCCACCCAAAGAACAAATGAATCTTTATTCTTATTTGGTGTGGCATAAATTACAACATCTTTGAAAATTTTGAACAACATTTATTCACATCTTCCTTGCAATTTATATTGCTTGACTGATGTCTTTATTCATATCTGATAGTAGCTTAATGAGAAGAAATTTTCATATCCATGAAAGGAATATCTTATTGAGACAATCACATATTAATCGATTTTTAATTGATGGTACATACTTTATATTAGATGAAAAATTAATAATATTCAATAATTATTGCAACAATAGTCCATGAATCTTTAAATGATTGTCTTATAATTTGCTTTGTAAAATATTTTTAAAATTCAAACTAAATTTTGAAACATATAAAAAAAATTCATATGTATTTTTCAACCGTACAACGAGGACACGCTTATGACAAGTCCGGAGAACAAAAAATTCATATGTATTTTTTGCTTGTCTGTGTGGCTTCGACATACCTTAGGTGAGAGTCATTTTTTAACCGAACACAACTTGTTGAAAATTGAAGCTTGTTAGGCCGCCCATTCATTGACTTAACTCGCCCGCGCGTGCATGTTCAATAATCTATGACTTACTGCATGTTCAGTCACCTATGACTTAACCGACTTTCCTTTACACTACGTTGTGTCTCGAGATGTCATCCATCATCACATCTCATCTTGTTATTTTTTTTTCCCAATTAACACGACCATCATGTGTTTATGGCATACCAAGTTTCGAGATGTCATCAATCATCGAAGCTTACTCGATCGTGCTCATCGAGAATGGGCCCATGTGTCTTTCATAACATCAAGGCACCTCGAATATCAATCTATCCAGGTTCTATCGAGGCTGGACCTTTAGTGTCCATGCCATATCATTTACGAATGTTGTTTAGATAGCAGGCGCATAATCCAGTTTCTAAAACATGGGTGAGCATGAAATGTTGGCACATCTGTGCCATCTCATACTATTCTTGAAACACCAACTTCAAAGGAAGTCGCCTAAGACACTTGTCCAACAATGTTCGCCTTCACTGTGACCCATACATATGCCACAAGGTAGCTCTCTTAGGCCACGGGGCCCAGGGATATCAATGTATGACCCCTTAAAGGTAAAAGAGGTTAGTTATGATCAAAAAAGAGCATCAATCCACTATGAAGATGGCTCAAGATCTCAAACCCATACGGATATGGATACTCAATCCGTCTACGAAAGTTAGCTAAATGTGAGCCTTCACTATGTGGCTGACAAGTTGTCAATCTTTGTTTTGTCTCTGATAAAGGTGTCAGGTTGTAGATAAAATTTTCTTCAGAATTTTTCATATGACTAAGCACCTAAGCTTGCCAACGGATTTACTGTGCTTCCCGCGTCTTACCACTTGGAACACAAGGGCTATTCACTCAGCTATCACATACTCCAAATTCTTCTGAGTTTCTCTTATCATCCTCCTAATTTCTACAATGTCGTTTTTAAAGCTCGAGTAACTCCTCTTCCCTCACAAAAATTGAGAGGCTCTGATACCATTCCTACGCTTAATGACTTGAGCCCTTACAATTTACATGAGCTCTGTCATTCTAACTTAATTTACAATTAATGTACATTCAGACTTAGAGAATACAGCTTATTGTGCATACAAATCCATTCTTTCATCAATAATTGGATGAAAGTGGAAATTCATATTCATCAATAATTTGACGAAAGTGGAAACCCATTTTCATCAATAATTTGATGAAAGTGGTAAAGGTAAAAAAAACAAGATAATAAAGCAAAACGGTAAAAGACAAAGAAACAAAGTAAAAGATATGTCAGGAGACATATTTCTTGACATATTTTACCCACTAATTAATTAATTAATTAATTATTATTATTATTATTTTATTATAAATAGTTTAACGACTATTCAATCATTTCAGATGAAAATGTTTACAAAGGTGGTTGACAATCCAAAAATGGATCATTAAGATCATAAACCATGTCTTCCTCTTCTTCTATAATAGAAGGAGAGGATGTCTGTAATACCCGACGAAAGAGAAATAGAAATAGAAAAAGAAAAAAAATAGGAAAACTCGAGAGAGGGGCAAATAGGTAAATTTGCCCCTCCAACCACCTAAGGGGTCCAAATGAAACCCCATCCAGAGTACTGCAAAAGAAAAATAGTGAGAGAAACGGGTTAGAGAGAACCTGGAGAGAGGAGGAAGAATGAACGGCCTGGAAGACTCACCGAAACCTACCGCCGAAGTCTACTCCGATCAAGATCATGATGCAAGGAGCCTTTCTTGGAAGGGAAAAGAGAATGTTGGTGACCGGAGTCCAATTTTCCATCAAGAAATCAGAAAAACCCGCGAGGTAAGATCTTGAACGTTTTCTCGGATCTACGGTTTTCCTTTGTGAATCAAGGTCTGAAATCTTGATATATTCATTTAGGAACAACTCTATACAGGATCTTTGAAGAAGTTTGGCTGAAACCTCGATCCGAAGGCAGAACTCCGAGAATTGTCCGAGAACGGTGAGCAAACTTCCGACGTTCTTAACTCATTAGGTAGTCAAGAAAAAATTACAAAAAAAAAAAATACTAGGACGTAGCCTGTAACACGATCTAGAACTTTGCCGAAGGAATCATATCGATCCGATTTACGGATCGAAAGATATGAAAATTGGAAAAGGGGACCGTGTTTCGGTTTTCAGAGGACAGAGAAGAAAGAAAAAAAAAAGGGGCGGCAAGCGAGTGGCAGAGGGCAACGACAGGTGCCGGACACACGTCAACCGTCGGCTGGAGCAACGCAACTTTAGCGAGGCGACGACACGTGTCGCGTGCAAGCCGGGCCGAACCGCAACCGCGAGCCGAGCCGAGCCGGACCAGACCGGGCGTCCCGCGACTGCGCGAAAGCGGGCGCGCGTGGTAGGTGCACGTGCGACCTGCGACTGGCGCCTTCCCGTGCGCGTGACCTCGCACTGCCGATGCGTGAGGGCACGTGGACAATCCGTTTTGGCCCGATTTCTCTCTGTTTGCCCGATTTTTTGTCCCGGTTCCAGTTCTAATACTATTTTTACGTGAATAGGGACTTAATATAAAGAAATCAGTATTTTTGGACCACTCACGGGCAAAGAAATGCTAGCAAAAAGGCACGCGTCAACCAGGTAAGTCACCACGCAGTATTTATGAAGAAATATTTGTAGGATTCGCTTGGATTGCATGCATGCCAGTGGTTTTGCTTCAGGTTAGCTCTCCATGTAAATTGTTTGTCAGAATAATTGTTATGATTGTATTGGGTGAATTACACAAGTGTTGTTGTATGCTTTAAGCTTCCGTCGTATGTATGCATGCGTTTAATTTATGTTGGAATTGTGTATGCCGTGTTTCAGGTGCTTGATGGACGAATTCGCCCCATTGAGCGCGAACTTCGTTCTCTGGGTGCTTGATGGAGGTCATTGCCTCGTTGAGCCGGTATGACTAGTTTGCATGAATTATATATTATGATGTTAGAAGATGGTTGCATGCACACTCTGTTAATTGCTAGAGACCGTTTCCATGATAAGCTTAGGGGATTACCATTAGAAGCGATATGTCGCTCTAGCCAGACTTAATCTTACCCTAGGAACTTAGCGGTTTACCACGGTAACAAGGTACCTCGAAGTGTTCATAGATTGCTAGTGTGAGAATGGTATTTATAGCTTCGTGGGAGGACCAAGTGTCCCTGATTAGTTCTTATTGCTCTTAGCCATTTCGCATGGGAAATGTGTCCCCACGTCGTAAGCCCATTAGCTGCATGGGACTGGGTTGGGTCGCGCCCCCCATAGGGGGACTATATGGGCGTAGGGGTATTTAGCACACCCTTAGGCTAGATACCATGTAGTCCCAGATAGCCATGTAGAGGTAGCACCTCACAGAGAGATACTGACTATATTAGCTTGGTGTAAGGAACCTCTAGGTGTTTAATGAAAGGACGATGAACCGGTGAAACCCAAGGGACAAGCTCCGAGGGACTAAGATTAAAACCAGATGTCCTAGAACTGAATTAGGAAACCGTGGGAACCTCTTAAATTAAGAAGCGAAGAGAGCCTACAAGTAAGTGGCTTACTGAGTATAATTTTTATGCTCATTCCTTTCTACTTTTTTTTGTCAGGTGCCGGTCGAGGTGGAGGAGCGTTCGAGAGTTGTGCGGTCACAGAGGGGGTCGTTCCGGAGCGTCAGTCCTTTGTCGGTCTCTTAGAGTCTTTTGTAATTTTCTTCATAATTTTATTTCCGGTTGGAAATATTTGGTTTTAATTTTGTATTTCTAATTCCTTTTTATTAATTTGAAACAAATTTTTTCTCTATTTTGTTTTAATTAAATGGTATTTTTAACTTCCCATTTCATTTCTTTTTGTTTGTTTTCGATTTCATCTTTTTAGTCACGATTCAATTTTTCGAAGCCTCGAAAATCGGGTCGTGACAATGTCGAACCGACAGATGCGGCCTCTTGAAGAAGTTTTTGAAAATCAACTTCTGAAGTTGTCTGGGCTAATGCAGCGAGTATCTTCGACTTTGAATTAAGAAATTCGGAGGTACTCTTCTTGGATAAATCCTGAAGGTGGCCATTTTCTGATAGCCAGACCTTTACCGCTTTGATATCTGCGTGGGTATAAGTATATTTATCCCATCATTTGATTTTGATAGTTTTGAAGACCTGTTTTACTTGGTCTTCCGTCTCCTTTATTTGAAAATTACAGGTTAAAATCCAGGGAATTTGAAAGTATATGCAAAAGCTCATGGTTAATGAAAATGGGGTTTTGAATATATTTTGAATAAAGTAGTGGAAGGATTCGTGTATTGGAACGGGAAATATATCTTTGATTGATCCAAACATTTTCCACCATTTGATGAACAAAAATGGGTAATGAATTTTATGGGCATTTTGGCAGAATTGAATAAACCATGAATGCTCATAATTCTGATACCAAATGACATTGAACCATGACATCTGATAGTCTCTGTATGAGTAGGAGTGTGGAACAAACGGTTTTGAAAAAGTATTTTCCGTGTACAGGTCTTGATTCCAGGACGTCGGATTCATGACTTTGAAAATTTTTAACTTTAAGTATGCGATTTTTGAAGGATCATCGCGACTCGGATTATGTGTAATTTCGACGGATTTTGTGTCGACTAAAATGAAGTCATAAAACCTTCTAGTCTTATGAAGATCTTCCGGGATATAAAAGAATCCCAATGGATAGGCTTTTTTGACGACCTTGCTGATTTTTGGGTCGTCGTATTCTAGTTCTACTAGAGCTTCTAGTATAGACATAGATTTTTGAAAATAGGTCCTGATTTCAGGAACTGGAGAAAAACGAACGGGAACAACCGCGTCCGAGTAGGTTGAGGGGACAGAAGGTCCCTTTGAAGTGGAAGAGACAGTAGGTCTCGATGGAGTAACGGCAGATGGCCATGTTGAAGAGGCAGAAGGCCTCGTCGGAGTGATAACCTCCGCTTGTTTATTAGAAAGCTTTGCTCTAGACCTAGTCACCAATGTGAAACCAGCATCCATTGCATAGCTATCGGACGTCATTGGAGTAGGTGTGTTTGAAGAAGCAATGGACTTCTTTCCTTTTTCTATTGCTTTCTTTCCGGTCATCACTCGGGGAAGGAGATTGGCTAGGGAGAGTTTTTCTTCGAGAGTAAGAACTCTCTTGAGAGGTAATCCACCAAAGGGTTTTCGACCCCTTTATAGGCAAAATTTGGAAGTCGAAACAAGATAAAATAGCTTGCCATCTAGCAAAAATATGCTCAGATACAAGATTTTTGACATCTTTTTCTAAAACAAATTTAGATGCTCTAGAATCCATTTTGATCACAAAGCTTTTGTTAATTAAATCGCTTTGAAATTTTGTACACAAAGTACTATAGAAAGTATTTCTTTCTTTACTGTTGAGTAATTTTTTTTTAGTAAAATTCCATATTCCCGAATGAAAACGGACAATGGATTCTTTCTTGTCAAGGGATTGTTTTAGGATTCCTCCATATCCGATATCGGATGCGTCGGTCTCAACTATTAAACCAGCCCTTGAGTTTATCAGAGATAAACACGGAATTGATTTGACGAGGGATTTGATTTTTTGGACTGTTTTGGTGTGTTCTTCAGAATAGGGCTTGGGATTCTTTTTTAGCCTTTCAAAAGCCGCTTGCAAATGGGTCTGATATTTTGAAGGAAATCAGACACATAATTCAGACATCTAAAAAATCTTTGTAGTTAGGTTTTATTGGTGACCTGGAAAGTTTGAGGCAAACTCAATGGATCTTTGAATGGGTTTAATTAAATCCCAAATGAATTTCAAACCCAAGGAAATAGATTTTTGTCTGAAAAAGTTTTATTTTTGGTTTAGATACAACTAAATCGTTTCTTTTGACTATTGCCAAAAATGTTTGAAGATGCTTAAAATGTTGATCGATGTTTCGAGAGAAAATCAGAATATCGTCAATATAGACAATTGAAAAGTCTTGAAAAGGATTGAAGATATCATTTATAATTTTTTGAAATTCATATGGAGCGTTTTTTTAGCTCAAATAGCATAACGTTCCACTCGTATTGTCCGAAAGGGACATTGAAAGCCGTTTTGTATTTGTCTTTTTCTGAAATCTAGATCTGCCAAAATCCTAATTTCATATCAAATTTTGAAAATATTTTAGCATTTGGAATTCTTTGCATTAAATCTGATTTATTCGGAATTGGATATCTAATTCATTCCAAAACCTTATTTAAGGATTTGTAGTTTATTACCAGTCACCGGACTCCACGTTCCTTCTCCTTCTCTGTCTGGTTGTTGACGTAAAAAGCCGCACATGACCAGGGGCTCTTTGACGGCCTAATAAGACCCTTCTACAAAAGATCATTGATTTCTTCTTTGCAGAATGTTAGTAATTCCTTATTCATTTGAATAGGTCGGGGAATATTTTTCTCCTCGAAGGTTTTGACATAAGGAAGATTAACTATGTGGATTCCTATTCCAGAAGGCATTAGGGATAGTTGAACAAATTTTCCTTTCTATTTGAGCTTGTAATGTTTTGATTTTAGACTGGACGGTCTTACTTCGAAGCTATTCTTCTATTCTTTTGAATGAAATTTCTTCCTTTAGAAAAGAAATTTGTTTTTCTTTATAATTTAATACATTTATTGATTGAATAATTGTATTGGTTATTTATTTCACTAATACTTACACGAGAAAGGAAATTAAATTTTATCTTCTTTCCTAATGCTTTTGACTCTAACCCCTTTTCAGTTATTTTAAAATGGTATAATTAAGTAATGAGAGGAGTACCTAGGATTAGTTCTTGTCCTAAGTCCTTTACTAAAAGGAAGGAATTTACGAAGCAAATTCCTTCATTACAAACATGGACTTTTGATAATTTGTAATTAATTTTGAGTCTGTTGTTATTTGCACCTCTAAGGCCTTCGGTAATTTTTTCAAAATACTGAGTAGGTATTAGGCCTTCTTGAATGCAATTTTGATCGGCTCCAGTATCTATGAGAGCCTTCAGTGTGATTTTGGAATCATAAATTTTTAAGGTAACGAGAGCGTACCATTTTTGATATTGAGAAGTGCTGATGGCTCCAACGAATGAACTTTGAAAATCATCTTCGTCCAGGTTTGGTTGCGCCGTTTCCTTTCATTCGGGTAGCCTTTCCTGAAGATTGAGAATTTCTTGGCGAAGCATATAGGATTCTGACCTGGTTTCAGATCTTAATGCCTGTACCTTTTGTTTGAGATTATTAATCTCTCTTTGTAGGTCTTGAGTAGTGAGTTCTCTCGGTTTTTCAAACCTTTGAAGAACTGGTTGAAGTCTGTAGGGATTTTTTTCTTCCCTTTCAGGGGCTTAGAGATTGTCATGGCATCTCTAGGTGGTTGAGCAATTCTCTGTTGAATTTCTGGATCTTGAACTTTTTCTACCACCTCAAGTAGAATTTCTTGATCCTTTGTAAGGACGTTTATGCATCCCTCGCATGTCCTATTTCCTTCTTGTTCTGATTCATATTCTATGCTAGAATATGAATCGGATTCTTGTTGGAGTTCGAGGATTTCTCCCTCGCTTGATTGTTCTGAGTCGGCTAGAGCCAGTTGTAGTAGCTGATTTTTCAGCTCTTGAGCTATATCTAACTCATTGATCTTTCCTTTGATCGGACACTTGTTAGCATAGTGTCCTTCTTCTCGACATTTGCAGCCAGTTTATTTTTTCTTTCCTCTATGGGTTTTTGTAGGAGTATACTTTCTCCTTGAATACGTTGGCTTTTGAGATGGTACGGGTCTATTCCGATACTTTTCTTTAGGCCTGTACGAATTATGAGGCTTTGGATGCGTCATAACCTTCTTTCTTTTGGAGGTTGAGGGGGTCTCTATCCCTTTGCATCCATATTGATCGCAAAGTCTTCCAAGCTCTTTTATGTTTGATATCGAAGAATTGAACTTGTTTTGAATCTTTGACTCATTGTAAAGTCTGAGTCCTTATTCTATGATGAAGGATGCTATTGATCCGTATGACAAAGTTTGCCATGAAATTGTTCCATTATACTTTGTCTTAAGACCGTCTTTGATCCTTCTTGAGAAGTATTTTGGTAGTCCATTGACAAAATTCTCTTTCCAGAATTCCAACAAACTGTCTGTTCTAATAAGAACTTTGCTGAAATACATGTCTTTGTACCACCTGAAATCTCCTAAGGTGGGGCACTTCAGGTTCATGAGTATTTCGGTGGATCTTTCCTGGTATTTCAAGGGGTCGCGAACGAAGAATTCTATAAGGGTAAGAATGAGGGTGTTGACAGCATCCTCTACCTTTTTATGTTGTACTTCGGTCCTAGTTGATAGACCTTCTTCTTTGATGATTTGAGTAGTTAGCCTAACGACATAGTGGTTTAGTATCGTTGGCGAGTTGCTTCGTCGAGATATTTGTCCCACCAGTCCTTGAGTTGCCCAGTAAATCCGGTCACTAAAACTTGAGCTATTTGATGGTCGGATTTATGGCCCTGTAATTTATACGCGCCTGTGGCCATCATCATTTCATTGACAACATTCATTATCAGATAGTCGGATAATCCATCAATATTCCATTCATAAATTGCTAGACCATCGTAATGAGCTTGAGTTTGTAGAGTCTTTTCTTGGAATTGAATATCTGGAAAAGACGGTTTAGGATACCAGTTTTTCTGATTACTGGTATTATTTTGACTTCTCCTGGAGATTCTTTCAATTCGATTGTAGAGGGGTTCTTCTACCTCATCTAAAATCTCGTCTTCGAATTCCTGGCATTCGTCGTCATTGTTAATGACATTGACAGATGAATCCTGATTTGTTATTCCAGGATTTAGGATTCTATCCAACTTTTCTTCTATTTTGGCCATCGCGGCCTCTTCTTTTGAAATCCTCTTTGTAAATACGTCGAGGTTTGTCGGTCTGAGTATTGGGATTGACTCATCGACTTTCGGTACAAGGCTGCCTGCTTGTTCTTGCAGAGTACCAGAATTTTTCAAGATTTTTCCTCGATACTCTAAACCTAGGTGGAGATCGTGGAGAAAATCTTCTTTGAATAATTATTTTGATGCTGTATATTCTTGATATCCTTTAGGGTCGGATTACCCTTTTCTAGTCCTTCTGGGATAGTTTTGAAAGGACTAGCTTTGACCTTTTCTCCATAGTAAAATTCAAATTCAACTTCTTCCAACGGAGGATGTTTTGAATATACTTCGCCTCTTCTGGTAGTCTTCCAGCTTCTTTGAGTCAAAGTGCATATTTGCAAAATATTTTCTTCAAACCATTCGAAGAATGGTATGTTTTCTTCTATGGTTTTCATATGAGAATACCACTGAGCTCTTAGTTCACTTCACTCAGCTTCTTTGTAGGTTTGGAAGAAAGCTTTTCTCTTTGTAGAGTTGGCAGCTGACATAAAATCTGCCTTAAAAAATTCTTTGTCTATCTGGAAATCAGCTATAATAACATTTAGTTGACTTTCGTAGACGGATTGAGTATCCATATCTGTATGGGTTGGAGATCTTGAGCCATCTTCATAGTGAATTGATGCCCTTTTTTGATCATAATTGACCTCTTTTACCTTTAAGGGGTCATACATTGATCTTGAAACTCCCGACGTACTTGGTCTAGAACTCAAGAATTCTTTTACTTTTGATTCTGACGAAGGTTCTTTGCTGAATTTTATTTCAATGCTTCCATCGTCATGTTCGATGATTTGTAATGGGTTTTGAGATTCCTTTTACCTCGGAAGATTAGCATCTTCTATTTTCCAAAGAGTATTTCTGGTTATTTGATCCCAAGAAAGAGTTTTTGGAACAGTCACTGTGGACTTTCCAATATTTGCCTCTATGAGCATGGTTGATCCTTTCGGCGAGGATCTTAATGCTCTGGTAGAAATATTTGTATTCATGAGTTTGTAATAAACCCTTAATATGACGACTGAAGAATGAGTTTCAGTGTTGATGTTCAAATTTTTATATTGTAAGTCCACCATGAGGGCTGATAATATGTGCGGGTCGTGGAACGACAAAGTAAAATTTGGATAACAATTGAAATAGACTGGTCCATTCTCTAGATTGGATTGAACCATCCCAATAAAGAATTTGAGAAATCTTCATGTCTCTTATCTCGTAAGGAGATAAGGACTGGGATATCTAACCCAAGTCTGAACAATGGTTTTACAGCGACTTGGACAAGACCGACGTGAAGATAGTTACATAAGAAAACCACAGCTTTTATCTAACATTAGCTTCCAACCAATTTTTGGAATTGTACCATTTGAGCCTTGTATGAGAAATGGTGCACGTCCCCGCTATGTTTGGACGAGGAGGTGAGAGAGAGTTAGTAGGACCCGAGCTAGTTCGAGTCACCAATGAGGCTATCTAGAAAATATGAGTGATGATGCGTACAAATCAAAGTAGACAGAAAAGCTACGCCCATGTAAGGCATAGGAACTTAGAGTTCGAGATAGGGGACCTAGTATTCCTAAAGGTGGCACCCATGGAAGGTGTCTTGAGGTTCGAATGTAAGGGTAGGTTAAGTCCCAGATTCATCGGACCTTTCGAGATTCTCGAGTGGATCGATCCCATAGCACATAAGTTAGTCCTACCTACCTCCGTCTTAGGAGTACACTATGTATTTGACATGTTGATGCTGAGAAAATACATGACGGACCCTATCCACGTAATAGATTACGAACTCCCTCAAACTCAACGAAGACTTGAGTTACGAGGAAAAACCCATAAGAATCTTCACTCTGTAAGTGAAAGCGTTACGCAACAAGGATATTGTGTTCGTTAAGACGCTGTGGCAAAACTACCACACCCAAGAGACCAAGTGGGAGCGTGAGGATGAAATAAGAGAAAAATACATCGAGTTAGTACAAGAGTTTGAGACTTTCGCGGACGAAAGTTCTTTTTCGGGTATATAATGTAACGATCAGATACTTTTTTTAAAAAAAATCTAAGTTGCGAGAATTTCCATGACCCACATGTAACACACTCCACGATCCTCAAAACTCGCCCAAACCATCACTAGCAGCCCCTCCCTCTTCAGTGTTTCCCGAACACTTGCAAGGAAGCAAAGAAAGGAGAATAACGAGAGAGAGAAAGTGTTAGTGAAAGAGGGAGTGATTGAATAGTTGATGAGAAGATTGTATAATGAAGAGCAAGAATATATAGAGAGAGAACACAAAAAGATATTTAGAAAATCTACAAAAAAAAAAAAAAAAAAAAAAAAAAAAAAAAAAAAAAAAAAAAAAAAAAAAAAAAAAAAAAAAAAAAAAAAAAAAAAAAAAAAAA